GTTGGTCAATCAGTAGCCCATGACGTTTGAACATATCGCGAGTTCGCATCGACAGAAAACGAGCTAGGTCGAATGTAAACCGTCTCCGAATCCTGTTAATATGAAAAGCTTTCAGGCGAATTAAGGCACTTTCGTCTTCAAATTTCCCCCGGCAACAAGCTTCGTGCGCCAAGTGGTTGGCGATAGCAACGAAGAGTCGATTGGTGCCTTTGCCAAGACCTCCATTCGTTGACAAAGCAGCAGTAAGGAGGGTAGATCAAGATGGGTTGAAAGTTCCCGCATAGTGATTTGCCTTACTTGCAGCTCGATCTTGGAGGGCGGATCCTGGCTTTTGGATCGACTTGTCGATGCTTCGACCTGCTGATGTGTGTGTGTCTCTGGCGTGGATGATGATGCCTCGCTGTGACGGACGTTTTTTTCGCAGTTTTGCAGAAGGGAAAGGTAGGACGACGAGTTATGTGCCATGAAGGTCTGGTGGTAGTGCTTCCCCCCTCCGTTGGTTGTCTTCGCGGCCGGACGGTGGGGGAATGTCACTGGTTTTTCGTGCCTGCCCTTGTTAATCTTGGGGGTTTGGCCGCTGCTGCCGTTTGGAACGATGTCATGATTGCGCCTGAAGAAAAGTTGAGATGTGTTCACGGGACTTTTGTTGGGTGCTTGCTCTCCCAGCCGCCAACCGACGACGTTCAAACAAATTTGTCCTCGCCTGTTCGGTGGGTGTCTCTTCCCGCCAGCCTCTTCTCTCTCTCTCTCTCTCTCTCTCTCTCTCGCTTGCATGCATTATTCTCCTTTCCCTCTCTGTCTCGTGCCCATAGGCACTTGCTTTATCCTTCCCGGTAGCGGCCCCCCCGCGCCCGCGTTGGATACCGTACTTGTTGCTTGATACACCAGTTGTTCTTCCGTGGCCGTTATCCTATATCATTTATCTACATGCAGTGGCGGCCACTATGTAAGAGAAAGCACGGGTATATGAGAGAAAGTCAGAATCGCTTGTCACGGCTATGGCATGTACTTGTTGTACACAGCAGTACGGTTTTGAGAACACGCCGGACATTCGCGAACTATTTCGGCTTGTCCAACCCTCTTTTGACATCGTTTTGAAACGCAACCACCGCTACTGTACCTATCCTGCCTTCTCTACCGTAGGGCACAACGAACTCCGCGGTGGCGGTCATCGTCGACGGGCAGCCGGTAATGGTCCCCAACTCTCGCGGCAGCTTCACCACCCCTTCTGTCGTCAGCTTCAAGCTTCGAGGCGATAGCAGCAGCAGCAGCAGCAGCAGCAGCAGCAGCGGGTCGTCGTCGTCGTCGTCGTCCCAGCTCGACACGTCAGGCCAGCCGCAACGGCAGCGGCGGAATCCTAACAATCCCCGCGGTCCCGCCGCCGCCGCCGCCGCCGCCCCCAGGAGAAGAAGGCGGCCAACGACCGCTTCCTCGGACGACCCCGACTACGACTACGCGGCCACCGGCGGCAGCAGCATCGAACAGGGCGAAGGAGACGGTTCCCCAAGGACACAAAGAGGGGCCGGGAAAATAAAGCGGCATGGCGGCGGCGGCGGCGGCGGCGGCGGGGGGGGATTGGCCCGCATTTTTGTCGGAGAGGCGGCGGCGGCTAGGATAGCGACGGACCCGAAGAACACGTACTCGTCCGTGAAGCGGATCGTGGGGAGGACCAAGAAGGAGGCCAAGGAGGCCGGGGTGGGGCTGGGGGCTCTGAATGTGGACCAGGTGTGTTGTTGTTGCTGCTGTCGTTTGTTGTTGTTGATGGGGTTGGTTATTGGAGGTGTTGTTGTTGTTGTTGTTGTTGGCGGTGAGTGTATTATATGCATCCTGACTTGTGACAGAAAAATATTTCCTTCGTTGTTTCCTCGGATCTGCCAGTGGTGTTAAAATCATTCTCGCAGAGACAAGAGGTTGCCTTTCTTTCGACCGATTTTTTTTTTCTTTCTTCCTTGTGGTCAATCTTTTTTTCGCTTATGGTATTTCCGATTTTATCCCCTCTCCGGGGTTATAAATGCCAACCCTACCAACTCTACATTGTTTTTCTCTCGGTCGCCTCTATTTTCGATGTTCCCCCTCTCTCTGCTTATGTGCGTCATTGCGTTTCCCCATTCCCCCGGCCACCGAATCGACAAGAGCCAACAATACCTGAGGCTCAAGTGCCCGGCCATCGGGGCCGGAGCCACGATACCCCCGGAGGAACTTTCGGCCGAAATTCTGAGGTAAAAGTATATACGAGAGATTCGCAAAAAAAAAAGAAGCAAGGGTAAGGATGTGTTACCACCATGTGCCATGTGCAGGACTGTCGGGAGCTTCCAGATGTTGGGGAGGTCTGCGTTGTCGAAGGTTCGCAGTCGAGCCGCCAATGCTGTTGCTCGCCTCGGGCGGCCGGCGGAAATTTTGTGTCGTGTTTGCTTGTTGAGCACTACTGCGAAAAGCAGTTGCGTTGTGCCTCTGTTGAGATGGCTAAGTGCTCTATAAGGGGCAGACCGGATTGACCGTGTCACCTTTGAGCAATTCGTGATAACCGGGTGCAGAGAGAGGAACGGTGAATCGTGTCAAGACGACTGCGATGGCTACGAAGGCAGCTACAACAACAGTGACAACAGCAGCAACGCCGCCACCTTCAACGACAACAGCCACAAAGACGACCACAACGAAATGTTCCCCTCCTTTCGTATGTATTGAGACACGATGTTGGCTTCGATGTTGCCCACATCGGCACAATTACCGCCACCGACGAAGACGACAATTAGATCACCACCTCTCCCTTTTCATGTTCATGGCGTCAGTGCATGCTTTCTTCCACTTTGTCCCACCTATGCTGGTTGTTCTTGCACCCCAAACGATATTATCATCAACAACAATGACTACAACGACGACGAGCAGAGCGCTGATCCGAGACGCGGAGCGATTCATAGGTGGCGGGGTCGTCGTCAAGCGAGCCGTGGTTGCGGTCCCCGCCTACTTCAACCCGGTGAGATAGATCTCTTGTCTTGTTGAAAAACACCGTATCAATCGTCCACACGCAAGCAAGCACCCCGGTGGGATGTGTCGTGTCTTGTTCTAGACTACCCTAACATTGTCCACATAAGGTTGCGCAAGGGACGAGATGTTTTTTTGCGTGCGAGAATCAGAGGTGACGGACGATCTGCTGGATCACCTGCACGTTGCAGTTGAAGTTTGGCGGTGCAGTGCTTTCATGTTGGATTTTCACCTTCCCGGCACATTTGTCGTGATGCCTGTTGAATATTAAGATTTACGTTGACACGCGTGTTGAGAATCACCTTGAAAATGGCATGTTTTCGGGTTCAAGTCCCCTATTTTTTCATGGAAGAAAAGTACAAATATTCATGTTCAATTGTTTTTGCAGGCGCCCTTGGCAAGACTTTCTTTCGTTCGCTGACGTGTGTTTCAACGTCATCTACCTATGATAGACGTTGTTCGTAGTAATGGGACGGTTGCTTCTGTATCCCTCCAAAACGTTTGACTGTTTTTTGTAACGTTTTTTTTTCGTTTTTCGTACAATAGATCCAATGCGCGGCGACCGAACGCGCGGCGAAATTGGCCGGGCTGGACAAGGTCAAGCTCATGCGGGAGCCGGAGGCCGCGGCCCTCGCCTACGGTCTTGACAAGGTGTTCATGTCTGCCTGTGCTGGTGCTGGTGCTGGTGCTGCTGTTTTTTTTGTTTGTTATTGTTTGCAAACGTTGTGTAGGTCGTCGGCTACGGTCGATGCGCGGGTACAGCCAGGGTGAATCCAGCGCCAGTATAGGTGCGAGAGCTTTCGTTTGCGGGCGGAACCGGTGTGTGCGGCACTGCCTGCACCTTTCGCTTTCGCTTCCAAGCTTTCAACAATCCAACCCATGCCATCCTTTGGAAGAAAATGATCCATCAGCCCTCTTGGTGCCGCTTCCCGAAGTCGCTCCCCGCGCTGCAGTGTGTTGTACATGACAACCAAGCACGTTCTCACCGATGAATGCACAACACACGGCGGCCCACCCCAAGTCTGCTGCTGCACATGATCAGGTTTCCAAAATGCCATTTATTCTTTACCTGGACGGCGCGTACTCCTGCTGTGTTTCGGTGCTAATTCGCAACGCTTATTGGCACCCCCCGTTCGGACGTTAACGCCTGCCATGGCGCGGTGTCAGCAGGGCGGTGACGAGCTTATCCTGGTGTTCGATCTGGGCGGCGGCACGTTCGACGTGTCGGTGCTCGAGGTGGGCGGGGGCATCGCGGAAGTGATCGCCACGGCGGGGGATAGCCAGCTCGGGGGAGACGACTTCGATCAGGCAAGCGGGACAGAGGCGTCGTCTCGGTGTTTGTCGTCCTTGTCGTGGTCGTCATGATCGTTGTGTTGCTGTTGCTGTTGCTTTTTGCTTGTTGTCGTGCATTGCTGCTGCTGCTGCTGCTGCTGCTGCTGCTGCTGCTGCTGCTGTTGCTTTTTGTTTGTTGTCGTGCATCTGCTGCTGCTGTTGTAACTCTTGTTGCTGGGGATGCTGCTCCAAACACTAAGCAATCACGTGGCCACCCGGAAGAAGAGGAACGATCGAATCCCGCCCCCCATCCCTGTTCAATACACACCAACCCCTCCCTTGGGTGTTGCAGAATGTGGCAGACATTCCTGGAGGGTGTGCATCTCGGTGATGTGTGCGGTAGTCTTTTTAGAGGTTATGACGCTTGCTCACCCCCTTCCCCCCACGACGTAGTCAACAAGTCAACCAGCCGTCGTATTAATAGTTGCTGAACGAGGTCAACGTTTTCATTCACATTATTCGAGATGTTTCCTTGCACAAGCCCTCGCCCTCGCCCATGAAGGAATTACCCTCATAGTGTATTTTACCAGTGCGCTTTGTCCCCCCACCCCTTCCTCTCGATGGTCTAACGACTACGGCATGCACAACTATGGGTGCACTCACCCCCCGCCCTCTCGAGGGCGCGTGGCCATGGTCTAACACCCAAGGAATGCAAGAAATGAGTACCCCCCCCCTTATCCTCCGCGATGCCCCCGACGGGAAAACGAATCGACCAGGCGGTGACAGAGTGGCTATTCGACGAGATCGCCGGCCTTGGTGGCGGAGACCCCCGGTCAAGCCCCGTGGCCACCAGGCGGCTGATCGAGAAGGCCAGGGCGGCCAGGGAGAGGCTCTCCAAAGCGTCGGAAACGGAGGTGGAGGTGACGTTCGCCAACGGCCAGAGGGGCTCCGTGACTCTCACTAGGTAGGTGGGGGTGTACTGTTGGTGTTTTGCATGCCTTGGCGGTTAGGCTGTTGACTACGCTGCTTCGAGAGGACGGAGCATTGTACCCACAGGACCAATCACCGATGGACAATCGGTCCTCCCTACTTTGCCAAAGGTGGCTCAACGATGTCTTCCCTGGTCTATCCTATTACTAGGTGGGTTGGGGGGTCTACTCATAGTCGTGCATGCCGTAGTCGTTAGACCATTGACCTCGCATCCCTACAAAGGTAGGTGGGGGGAGTTGAATAGCGCGACGATTGTTCAAGAACCGTTGGCGAACCCGAGGCAAACGTGTTGATCATTTTACTTGAACAGCAGCGCATGGCAATACGTAACGCCTGGCTATTTTTGCAACAATAGAACAAACAGTTGGCGGTGCCTCCGCAGGGAGGGGCTGAGCTGATAAGGACTCGTACCCTGTTCCGTTCCTTTTCTGTCTTCCCGAGCTTCAAATCCCGCCTAGATTTAAAATCCTTGTCATTTTTACCTTAGGGCGAGAGTCACATGATCTATAGCACCCTGCGACCACTCAAACGAGTACTTCGCAGCGCTTTTGAGAAAGTGGTCATCAGCAAGCGAACAAACCAACAACGCATAAAGTGGTCACCTTATGCCCCACCCCTTGCAGCGTTTGGGAGACGATGGGACACGGGATGAATTCCAGAAGGGGCTGGCTGGTAGTGTAGAATCCTTCAGGAAACTGCTGAGAAGCGTCGAAGACGGACAGGTAGACGTACAGGCAGCAGGGGACAGGGTGATTGAAGGGTGGGAGTCCATCGTGAACGCAACGGCAGAGAGAGTAGTGGGAAAGAAGGTGGTACGATGTGGGGTATCGGTTAAGTGGTGGGATGACGAGCTGAAAGAAGAAATAGGGGAACGTAGAGAAGTCTTCAAGCAGTACCTGAGTGAGGCGTCTGAGGAGAGTTGGGAAAAGTACAGGGCCAAGAGAAAACAGGTGAAGGGACTAGTGAAAAAGAAGAAAAAGTGTATTTGGGACGAAGTAGTGCAGAAGGCCAACGGAGGCCTGGAGGGAAACGTCAAGCAGATGTGGGAAGGGATTAGTGGAATGGTAAAAAAGACCGCGCAAGGGGGGGATACAGGGGTCGCAACTTTGCGAGGTGTGAACGGTGGATTAGTCAGCAGTGGGAAGGGAAAAAGGGAAGTTCTAGCAGGACACTACAAGAGACTTGGAGTGCCCTCGGAGAATGAAGCTTTTGACCAAGCGTTTAAGAAGGAGGTGGACGCATGGGCCCAAAAAGAAGAAGAGACATCGAAGGCAGACGTTGGGAACGTAGAACTAGAAAAGGAGTTCACTGAGGACGAGGTTGAGGCGTGTGTGAACAAGCTGAAGTGCCACAAAGCAGCAGGAGCGGATGGGATAGTCAACGAGTTCATGAAGTTTGGGGGGAAGGGGATGATCCAGCTGATGGTACTGCTATACAATTGGGTGTGGAAAAACGAGTATACGCCAAGTAGATGGAGGGAAGGAGTGGTTGTGAACTTGTTTAAGAAAGGAGACAAGACTGACCCAGGAAACTACAGGGGGATCACACTGTTGAACACAGTAGGAAAAGTGTTCTGTAAGCTGCTGAACGATAGGATAGTGGGAGTATTGGAGAAGGAACATAGCATTAGTGAGGGCCAGGCAGGTTTCCGCAAGAAGAGGGGGTGCGTAGACCACGTGTTCACGGTAGGGAGAATCATCCAAGGTAGAAAGAGGGCGGGAAAGCCGACGTACTGCTTCTTCCTGGACGTGAAAAAGGCATACGACACCGTGTGGAGAAATGGGTTGTGGAAACAACTGTCCAAATACGGGATCAAGGGGAAAATGTGGAGAGTGCTGAAGAAGATGACAGAGTGTACGAAAAGCGCGGTCATGCTAGACGGAGAACTGTCAAAATTCTTCGACATTGAGCAGGGGGTCCCACAAGGTTGCACGCTGTCCCCAACATTGTTCCAGGTGTTCATCAACGATCTGTTGGAAGTCGTAGAGGCAGTCCGGAAGGGAGTAAAAGTAGGGGACACGGAAACGTCGGTTTCAGGAATGCTGTTTGCGGATGATTTTGTCGGTATGTCGGACACCCCTGAGGGACTGCAACTGCAAATTGACGCGGCGAAGAAGTTTACTGATAAGTGGAGATTGTCTGCCAACGTTCAGAAGAGTGCCGTCATGGTATGCAACGAGAACAAGGAGGAACCAGTAGAACATAGATGGAAGTGGGGGATCGAGGAGATTGCAGTAGTGGACCAGTACACATACCTCGGAGTAGAGATCGCAAAAGACTGCTCGTGGAATGCACACATGTCCAAGGTAGCGGAAAAGGGCAAAGCACGAGCAGGGAAGCTGCATCCAATACTCGCAAACCGGCACCTCGATACACGCATCAAATTGACGGTTTTGAAGAGCGTAATCGTACCGCCGCTAGAGTACGCCGGAGAAGTATGGGAAGGAAATAAGAAGGTAGTGAAAGAACTCGAGGCGGCGCAGATGAAAGCAGCGAAAACCATCCTAGGATGCTCCAGGCGCACAAGTAATGCAGCCGTGAGGGCAGAATTGGGGATCCAATCCCTACGGTCGGGAAGAGACGCGAGGAAGCTGACCTGGCAGTATCGCATGTGCGGGATGGGAGAGGAGAGGTTGCCGAGAATTGTATGGGAGGCGAAGTGGGCAAACAAAAAGAGGGGTAGACAACCCACGGAATGGGTCAAGGTTGTAGAGGACGTATGGAAGGGGCTCGACATCGACGAAGATGAAACGCTGGAAACGGAGGGTCTACAGGGGTTCAAGGAGAAGATATCTGTTGCTTGTGCCGAGAGAGAAGAACAGAATCTGAGGAAAGAATCCAAGGATAAGGAGGGTCTAGAAGTGTACGGAATGTTGAAGGAAGGAATAGGGTTCAAGGACTACCTACATGGACCAATGGATGCAGGAACAAAGCTTAAGGTCAAATTCAGGACCGGGGACATAGGCCTTCGAGAACGTCGACGAAGACATAGGACGGTAGACGAGGAAGACGACGAGTTCAAATGTGATTGCGGCTTCGAATGCGAAGACCGTGTTCATGTAGTCGCGGAATGTCCGTTGTACAACAAGGAGAGGGAAGTGTACGTGACTGAGCTGGGAAAAATAGATGGAACGTACAGGGAGATGTTTGAGGCATGGAATAGAGAGGAAAGGACGGTAGCTGTACTGGGGCATAGGAGGTGGGTTGAAAAGGCGGGAAGGGATATCGTTAGGATAGACAGACTAGGGAAGACATTTTTGAGCCACCTTTGGCAAAGTAGGAAGGAACGATTGGCCATCGGTGATCGGTCCTGTGGGAACAATGCTCCGTCCTCTCGAGGACGCGTGGTCAATGGTCTAACCGCTAAGACATGCAAAACATAAGAGTACGCCCCTTGCAGCCGTCGCCGAACTCGTCGTGCCCACACAGAAGGCACGTCAGGGTGGCGGCCTGTTCCGCTGTCGACTTCGGCATAGTCGGACATAGTCCTCGGAGTCTGCTCGACCATCTTCTGGGACCCCCCCGCATTTTGAAGACACTCGACATATCCTCAACATGTCGAGTGTCTCCAAAATGTGTGGAGGTCCCAGGAGACGGTCGAGCAGACTTCGAGGACTATGCCGAAGTCGACAGCGGAACATGCCGCCACCCTGACGTGCCTTCTGTGTGGGCACGACGAGTTCGGCGACGGCTGCAAGGGAGCGGACCCCGTTCAAAAACAAATTATCACGCGGAATGGACCCCGTAAATTGGATTACTACCAGGACCCCAGGCCAGCGTTTGATTTTCGTTGGAGCCCAAGGGAAAAGAAAGCCGGGCAGGAGAGAGAGGGAGGGAAGCAACCCAACGGACTGAAAGGGATTGTCCTCGTCGTAGTGGGCCCGGCGTAGAGTCGTGCCCTTGTGATGGAAGGTAGCCCCCGATGTCGAATGTACCTGTCGCTAGCGGGACACCCACCACCCGACGTCGACCGCATTTTTCTCGAAAGCTTTTCTATGCATGTAGACCTGTATCTGTACAAGAGATGAAACAAGCTGCTGTGTGAGAGTCAGAAACAAAGCAGCACACCGAACTCGAATCGTCGCGCATTCGCTGGAGTAAGGGCAGAGACAATAGGGGCAACAGCAAGGCAGCTGTCAAACACCAGCAACCAGCAGCCGTCACACAGCAGCACAGCAGCCCCAACTAACACAACAAGGAAGCAGCACGGATGGACCCGAACAAGATGACAACACAAAAATATACCAACCGTTGACTACCAGCTCCTGACTGGGTGGAAAACGAGCGGAAGCGGGAAGCGGGAAGCGGGAACGACCACGAAAACAACCACCGCTGCCCAGCAGAGGACGAACATTGCAACCAGGGCGAAAACTCAGCTCCTCCAGAGATGCCCCTATAGAGCCGCAGCTCGTATAGATGGTTGGGTGTGCTGCATGACTTCCATGTTCACATGCCATATGCACAACATGAAGCAACACTCGCTTTTCGCGGACCGACGCCCCCCTGGTTCTCGGAAGTATTGTTTCTACGAACAGGACCCCCTCGGTCTGCTCAACCGCCGCACAACAGGGCGAAGCAAACGACGACTCCTCTCGTCCGCTGTAGTGAGCGGAAGCTGCTGAACTCGGGGAGACATCATGATTGGCAATGCCCTACCGAGTCATGCTTCGGTTGTCGCACGTCGTGCACTGTAGCTCGAGATCGGCTTTTGAGACCCGGTCGGTTAAGGAGTGGGCCATGCTAATGACAAAAAAAAAGACTCTTCGTCTGGAGAGACCCCAGCTAGAGCTTGTGAATTGGGGAGGGGCGTCGCGGGATACACATCATTAGCTGTGGAGGAAGGGGCCGGGCTAGGTGGAACGTGGGCTGTGGGGCTATGTATGACGCCGGCAAGGCTCCCGATAGGCGGAGGGGCGTCAGGCTCACCCCGTAGCGGTTTTTTTCAAGACACTCGGAGGATCACGTGGCGTGATGCGGGATCGGAGCGGGGGGAACGCACTGGGTCGGACCTATACTGTGCTATAGCTGAGCACACATAAAATCCGTCTACTGCCGAAACACAACCTATGCCAGTGAACCAGTGCCAAGATTATTTCGTTATGACTACAGCCAGTAACAACACCGCCCCTCCCCCCCCCTCCCGATCCCCTTCCTTCTTTTTGCCTCGGATATCGCTACCCGGTCGCCCCGTCGCTTCTCCCCTCCGCGCGCATGCCTCCCTACGTTCGTTCCAGAGCAAAAATGGAGTCGTTGATCATGGAGCCGCTGAAGCGTGTCATGGCGCCGATGAGGTGATTTGATATGACTTCATGATTGTTGTTCCCGATTCCAAGCACTGACCACAGACCGCGGCAGTTTCTAGTGCGAACGTGAAGATTACATCGACATTGCTTCCCTCCCCCCTTATTTGATTGTGCCGGCGCATGTTAATACTAACGAATAGCCCGCTACTTGCTGCACGTGGGTTAGCTGTTATCTCTGAGGTAATCAAAGGCACACCCACCCGAATCAACTGTCAATCGACCGCGTTCTTTGATCGCCCGCCAGGGAAGTGGCCATAATGGCCGACATCAGCCTCCCGGGAGACACGGGAGCCTTCATGGACTACGACTTGGAGGACTCGAGGGAGTGGCGCGAAGGCGTTAGCGGTGGAGGAGGCGAGGCTGCGGAACGACAGGGGAGAAGCCTCCGGAAGCTCCGCAAAGAGCAGGCGAAAGCGAGAAAAAAGGCCAGGTCCCAGTCCAAGTCTCTGAGGAAGCAGGCGAGACTAGGGGGTTCTGCTGTGGCGAGCACTTTGAGATACGTGGTGGGGGGGTGTACTCAAAGTCGTGCATGCCGTAGTCGTTAGACCATTGACCTCGCTCCCTACAGAGCCGGGACGGAAGCACGCCGGATTCTCACCGGATCAAGCTCTCACATCACCAAACTCAAAGCACCGCGAGGTATTCGGCAAGTCGCATGAAGAGTGCGCTGGTTCCTGCTAGGGTTGTTCGGCATCTTGGTGCTTACTTCCTTGCGTAGGGATGACAGCTGCGCATGGCTTGATTTATTTTCCAGTGCTTTCACTTCCAGAGACAACTGTACGCACCGTGTGAGTGCCTCGAGGGTGCTTGACCAATAAAACACGACATGGTGCGATTATCCCCTTTGCACGGAGTGAGGGTTCTCGACCCCGCACAACGTAATCTACTCGATCACCATTCATGGTTACCACAAAAAAAACAACCAAAGGCAATAAAAAACGAAGCGGTAAAGTGGTTGTCGAGCCCACGAAGTTATCGGTGACAAACATCGGGGGGGGGGGATGGCGGGGGCGAATTGCATTTGTTCCCGCCGTCATATCTAAGTCTTGATATACGCCCCAGTTGGTTTGTTTGTGTAGCTTTGATCATCGTATCTCTTTTGACAACGGTGACGCTTTGAACGCAACGCTGTACTTCTTTTTCTTTTGTGATTTCGTCTCTATTTGACCACACTATGGTTTCCGAAAGTGATGTCATGCGCTTCCCCTAGTACCGCGTTATACATGTTGTTCATGGCACAGCATGCGTGCAACCAGGTGTCTTCGATGGCCGAGGTTGCTCGGAGAATGGACGGGAGCGCGAAGCTGAGGCGTTTTCCTCAGGGGGGGCGAATGGTTGACAAGGTCGTTCTTGTTGGGGGCGCAACAAGGATGCCCTGCGTACAGGTCAGCTGCTCTCTCTCTCTCTCTCTCTCGCCGTCTCTGCCTCTGTCTGTCTCGCATGTGGCTTTTTTTCTGTCGAACCACAAATCTTCATCTCTCTGTAGATGAACAGTCAAGAATCGTTTCGCGATGAAGGCATTGTGGTGCGTGACCTACCCGTGTGCCTACTGATCTCCCCACGTTATATATATATATAATGATATCTCTTTCGTTTTTCACGTGGACACCGCGCTCGCTTTTTGCCCGTTTGTCTGAATGGGGCGCGGCGTAGTTAGCTGCCACCCCTTCAATATTCACGCGCGACGTGAGTCTTGGAGTTTCGGCCTGTTGTTTGCTCACATCGCAAGTGTGTGTTTTCGCGGACTACTGTTATTTATTTATGTTTTTCGGTCTAGACTGTCGTCGTGAACTACTATTTATACCGTGTGCGTAACAAGACAGTACACCTAGTCTCGGGGCGTGTCTGATATTTTAACGCATGTACTGTATCGGGTACGGCTCATTTTCTTGTGGCATCAAGAGATGGTCTTTATATCAAACCAAACACAAGGACCACGTAAAGATAACAAAATATGTTCAGTGAAAAGGACGCCTTCACCTGTTATATTTCCGCCGCCTGTTTTTTTGAACCATTTTTTTTCGGGACTGTCCTCGTTATCGGTTTTTCATGTCGGAATCATTTCCCGCGTAAACAAGAAACCACCGTACAAAACAGTAATTTTTGGGCGGTAACTGGCCACCACGGCACAGTACGCCGGTCGCCCCGATGGTCTAGTGGGCACCCTCGCAGCCTGCAAAGGGCCAGGTCATGGGTTCGAGTCCCGGCAGAGTGAGATTTTTTCTCACATATTAAATTCTGGTCTCCGTTGGAAGCGACGCGCTGCAAAACTCGTTGATAGTAAAGTTGATCGACTTCGTAAGTCGCGAGGGAAGGGATTGCTGTACCCTTCTCTGGATAAAAATTTATCCGGCAGGAACCGCAGGAGGGGGTCCAACCCCCCCCTCCGATGTGACCCCGGTTGGGCCTTCTATCTAGTAGAAGGGGAGGATGGGGGCCAGAGGGGCAGTCGACAGAGTCCTCGTCCTATGTGGCCCCGGTTGGACCGTCTAGCTAGTAGAAGTGGAGGATTGGGTAATATTTGGGCGGTAACTGGCCACCACGGTAAATTCCGTGACGGTAACTCGTCACCACGGTAATTTTATTGTACGGCAACCAGCCACCACGGTAATGCACAGGAATGTGCACGTCTTTACGGTAACTGGTCACCACGGTAATTTTCCTGTACGGTAACCAGTCCCCACAGTAGAAGTGCACAGAAATATGCTCTCCTTCTTACCGTAACTGGTCACCACGCACGGTATAACTTGTACAGTTAACCACAACACCATGGCACGTCGGAACCTGTTTCGTTTGCTTGCTGTCAAGTGTTCCGTAAGAGTGTGGTCGCCGCACACCAAACGTGCGCGACACATTCATTCACCTAGCATCACGTCCGTCAACCAAACCGACCGGTGGCATTTAATGAAGGGTGAAAACCAGACAGCATGTGTCCACTTCATAGCACAGACAGGCAGACAGGCTCTCGTGGCCTCAAGACGATGTGATAAGTCCATCACGCGCCAAGTAATAATATGTCATCAACACGACAGTCTGACAGGCAACAAGCAAGCGCCGCCTTCCTCATCCACAGAGAAACGGTGGAATTATTCAACGATTCAACGAACAATGCAACTGGTGTTTCTGTGCGGTACTGTAGATGGGATTTTGTTGCTCTCACGGTAGCATACCTCCGCGGTAACTCGAAAGCACGGGAGTTCCGATTTTCCGCCGTAATTTTTGTACGGTAATGGGGAACTTCATTTTGTTCGTTAACGGTTTGGGCGTTAACGGTAAAATCAATTTATCACGGAAACGATTTGGATGGGAACGATAATTCTCGTTGTTCACGGGATCACAGGAAACGGTATGTACGGTGGTTTTACTGCGGTTCCGCGGAGAAATCAACGAGGACAGTCCTGATTTTTTTTCCTTCTCTCACTCCCTTTCTATCTCGCTGTCGCTGTCGTTTTTTTTTTCTTCTTTCTGATGTTCCCCGCAGAGGTTGGTCGGTGGCATCACCGGGGTGAAGCCGAAGAGGACGGTGGACCCCGACCGCGCGGTGGCCTTGGGCGCGGCCGCGTTCGCGGGGATCCTCGAGGGCGAGGTAAGATAGGTCCAGGGCCTCCCTCTTCGATCTGTACAGTAGTTCGTGTTGCTGTTTACTGGGCATACGTAGATGCCCCTCGTGGATCTTTACAACAGTTCATCTGGTCGTGTTGCCGAAAGTCTTGGATGACCCTCTCGGGTCCGGCGTCCATTTTGTCCTTTGCCGGAAATTGCTCGGATATCCCTCTTGACTTCATGGTACATTTTGTCGATATCGCCGAAGATGGAAGAAGGTCGGGGTAGTCGTCAAGGAGCCCGTGCTTGTGCAGAATGTGGGATGGGATGGCAATGGCCTGCGGTGTCTGGAACCTACCGGTTCTTCCGGTGTAGTCTTTTTTGCTACTTGTTTGGCTTTTGGTCATTCGCTTGCCTCTTTGATTGTCCCTGCTGCCTACTGCGAGTCCCGTTTTTCCGCACGTTTTTTCAAGAGCGCGACGGTTTTTTCCGTAGGCTTTGGGCGATTCTTCCGACTGAAAAGTTACGTTGCTTGCCTGTGCTTTTTGTTCAACCCTCCCTTCTTTCGTTCACCACCTTTTCATTTATGTGTGATAGCCTCTCCCATCGCAGTGTCCACACTGCCGTGCTTTGTTGCTTTTGTGACGTCCTTCGCCCCGAGGAACCCTGAGCTCGACTCAATTATCTTTTCTACTTCGGGACGAACGAACTGAAAACGACGACGCACGTTTCCATGTGGTTGTGGTTTATGGTCGACTGTACAGGTGGAGGGCCAGGAGGTGATGACGTCCTGGCAGGCCTCTGTCTACCGCATGATGGCGAGAAACGGCATGATGGAGTGAACGACGTGCCCAACAACCCCACGGCTTCAACTTGTGTAGCTTATACGGCATGGGTCCAGCGATGAGCCGTGCCAGAGGTTCACGGAGAGGGATGTCCACATGCCGAGCGATGCCCGCACTTCCTTCACGTCGGAGGTAGGGTTGCTTTGGAATGCCGGTTGGAAAAATATGGCCCCATGGAGGGGTGTTTGTGCACTATGCCGCTGCATGGCGACTGAGACAGTAAGAGGAAGACCCGATACGATACAGACCAAGCCCCACATGGCCCATTTTTTGTGGCGTGGCGGGGGTAGGCGGCACTCAGTTCAGTAACGCTTGCACGGTCTATGCGAGACTGACTGCCCAGCCTGCTGCTGCCAAGCACGGTGATAGCGATTGGCCAAGGGGAATGCAAGGATGGTACGGGCCAGTAAAGATGTACTGTAGCTTGAGACTGTTGAAAAGCGTCGCAGGAGGGGTGGGAAGATGCCAGAGAGGAATTCAAGTTCTGGGGAGTCCCCTCTTGAAGTCAGACCCTTTCGACCGGTAGCGTAGGATAGCCACAAGCGTGGGGTCCACTGCGACGCTTGTTGAGAGCGCGGGAAGACGAAATGGATCGCTCTGCCATGTGTGATACTTTCGCGACGCATGATGGTGTATGACAGACTTGCAGCAGCATGTACAGAATTAGTTGTCAAGCCGTTGTCCGTCATCGCAGAGAGCAACACGGGCCGCATGGCCTGATGGCAACGCTTAGATCATTGCTCGTAACTATGCGCCTGTATTGCATTATTGTAGTGTATTGGTCTGCTGCTGCGACTATGTAGGACGACGCAAAATTTCAGTATATCCGCACTTGTGTACCCGTGCGAACGAACCAACGCAACAGTTTCCACTTGCGAGGATGACTCCACCGGTGCGGTGGGTGAGTGCACCGCGATGGCTACTTCCCAGATTGGACCATCCCCGAAAAACATAGGACAGGGGTGGGGGAGTGGTGGTTGTGCGGCATGACCACATTAGTGAACAAGACGTCTCGTGGCGATGCTCTGAGATAGGTCTCTCTCGCTATATGCGCTCCGTATATCCCACCGAGCTCCGATCGCCCATCGCGTTGCTAAGAATCAGATTCCATAGCCGCGTGGGTAAAAGCAAGGGTTACTTGTATGGTTAGGGTTGTGGTAGGGTTGATGCTTGACGGGTCCGCGTTGGCAGCACACACCGCACGCGAGGTGTCATCGTCCCGGCGCGTAATCCGTTGGTGAATAGCTCATTTCCCACTGGAAAGGCGGAGCAGTTTCACAGAACAGATGGAATGGGGAAGAAGGGTGAGCATGAGCAATGCCGGCCGGGAATGCGGCAGGGTGGCCGGTGGAACTGTCGCACGACGTGGCTGGCCTACGATCTTAGGTAGAGAGGCGTATGTAGCGCACACATTACATGATGAGTCCTTTCCGGGGTGAAGACGTTGCCATCTTGCCGTCGGCAAATGGTCACCAAGATCGATTCATTTGTGAACAGATAATATGTGCATCGTATGATGCCAATTACCATCAACAGGAGCAGCCTCGCCGCGCTGTTACTCGGAGTCGGGCACCCAATAAAGAAGACCACGGAACTTCCATTAAGGCCTTTTCAACTACGAACAATCTAACACTCATCGTTAAGGGAAGACCAGAGGGAAAGTCTCTTGCTCCCACTTGGAGTCTAAAGTACACCACAACCCTAAGGTATCCAGTCAAGACACGAAAACAAACAAACGACTGGGGGAGCCTAGATCGCACTTCGGGGCAAATTCGCAACCGTGAGACTAGCATCAGCGACAGACGAATGCGTACTACATGTACCAATTTGACAAAATCGTAGGAACATCATTTCGAAGTCGTACCTCTCTCGCGCGTGGATGCATATGAAATGACGCATCGTGACATGGAGCGGTGCAGAATCTCGCAAAGGGCAATGTACGCAACTCCTGCCTGCCTGTCGCTGTCGGAAAAATTCAACCTCACCAATCGCTGCTTACTCTTGACGAGGCAGAGAAACAACTGCTGTGGGCAGTGGATCAAGGGGTTGTTAGCATGATCAGGACGCCCTGCGGATGTACAAGCGCCCGTGAGTGTTCAACACTACCGCTTCCGCCGAGAGGTCCGAGACCACTCCCGTCGTGCACAAGGCGAAGCAGGTCGCTCCCGAAACAATCAACCATGACTTCCCTCTGCTTCTCGTCCCTTACGACGGGGCGAACTGCTTCCCGGAGCTCGCCGAAGATCCCCCACGGGATGGGCTGGCCCAACGGCATAGAAGGGTAAGGCGTCTTGTCGACGTACACGCGTCTGTGAATGGTTCTCACAACCATTTTTCGCCGTGAGGTCCGAGATGACTCCCCCCCCGTAGAGGACCAGCACTGTCGACAAGGCTTTCTCTCTAGCCTCGTCTTCCAGGAGAGGCAGGTGCACCCCGTAGCAATCAACAACGGCTTTCCTCTGTGCCTCTCGTCCCCTTCGGCAGGGTGCACTGCAGCCCGGAAGTCATCGAAGTTCGCCCACGGAATGGGCTGGTCCAAGCATACCTCACGGTATTTCGTTGCGGAAGCCAACGTCGGAGAAAAAATGCGTCCCCGTGCACCGGCGGCGGTACCGCGGGAAGCGCGTAGAGTATATATTCGTGAGTGGGCTGTGGTCATGGGATGCATGGCTCAAGGGGATGGACCTATTTGTTTACAACATTCCCGGGAGATAGTTAGTAGAACCACTGGTACGGCGACTGGTTGTCAGGCGGTCTGGTATATCACCGTCTTGCGCCACCGTTACCCATACACCAGAATCGAAACATACATATCTCCCTCGACGACAAATGACGCAAGCGCCGATGCACTGGACATCGCTCACACACAACCGACGCAAGTGCGATAAGGCTGGTTCTTTTACAGCACTGCATCCAAATGAAGCACAACTGGAGTGATGAACAGGAAGGAAACAATGCCAATAACCAAAAATATAGTCCTTCAACCACACACGAGTAGAAAGTCGAAGACAATAATTAACAGCTCGCCCACCTTGCGAGCTAAGTCCGCCCAGCTCGTCCTGCGTTCCTCTCCAGCAAAATCGAAAACGTCCCGACGCGCCGCCATACGCTGTGTCTCCGCGTCCTGCTCGGCGTGTTGTTCCTTCTCTGTCTCTGCTGGAGACGAATGCTGCATGACACCGGCGAGCTCAGTCGACGACGAGCCGTGGTTGTCGAGGGCGCCCCGGAGCCTGCCGGGAATTCCGGACGCCGCGCCAACAGCCGATAGCTCGGCTTTGTGGATCTGCCTTGATAGAGGGGAGGAAGAGAGACGCCGCAGGTGTTTGAGGGGCGGGGTGAGGGGTGTGGGGAATGATATCCATGCCAGTTTCAGGCAAGAAGAATTTCAATACATCTCCGCGCGGTCGATATTCGGTATTTTGGCTCCATGCCGTGATTTCTTGTCCTGGACTACTGGTACCCCTTGAGACCTACCATCCATTTTCCGCTTGTCCCACACAGGCGCCGAAACATTACCACACCGAGAGGAAAAAGCAACATTATAAAGTCATTGCTTACCAACGTAAAACGAGGGCGAAACATGATTACGAAATGACACCAGACGTTCATCAACCCATTGATTTATCACCTCGCACGCAGCACCCCCACCTCTTGACCCCCTCCCTTCTCCCCAACGTCGATGGCATTCCTCCTGGCAACATCGGGGTCCTGAGACGCGGGGATATCAAGGGCTCGAATCCCCTCCACGGTCTTTTGTCACCGCACGCCCAAAGTTGTTCGTGTCATCGTCCTTTTCCCTGATAGATGGCCGCACTTGTACACAGTACCGACGTATCACATGACAGTGTCGACGTTGCAACTACCCACAACGGGCACGGAAACATACCGTACTCCCGTTGTCGCAGCCAAGTACAGCAGTAGCGATGACCAGCCAAAAACAGTTGAGCAGGTAGGTGGAGACCGCTACAAAAATTAACGACAACGCCATCAAATGACATGTCCCCTTCTAACCTTCATAATGAAAGCCGCGGAGCGCGAAGCGCGACCTTTTTCCCTTCATTTCCCAGGAGGGAAAGAAAGGCTCTAAATATCGGGAGCAAAGTTTGATTTCCGTGACGCATATTTGTCGCACCTTTCGGACCAGAACGAGACGTATAGGATTCTGTTTGACGATATGTTCACCTCTGAGGAAGAAGAAAAATTATGCGCTCTGAGATCGCATCCTCGCATGCCCAGGATTTGTGGGGAGGTAAAATGCCTAAGCTATCGGAGATTGCCCACACACAGACACGCGGTAGAGTTCAAACCCCGGGAGGACAACACCACATCTGGAGAAGGAGAACAACAGGACGCTGATCCGAGACAAGCCATCTATGAAAACCAGGAGGGGCCGGGCCTAGACGACCTGTCCGCCGTGGGTATAGTCATGCGCTGTGTGTGACCTGGTGGGTGTTTAGTCTATTGATGTTGGTTGGTGCAACCGGCTGCTCCCAATACAACAGCAGACCGATTATCACAAACGAGCAACACACAACAACACACCTTCCCAAGTCCAGAGATCGCACATACCACTGAGAATCCGTCGAGGGCGTGAGGAGCTACTGCTTCTGTGCATTATCAGGATGGCTCCCCGCGGGATTGGTTCAGGTTACGTACTTGCGCCGCGCTGCGGACTGTCTTCGTAAAATCCGAAAATCCGTGCCCTGCCTGCTGTTGCTGTTCGCATCAACGTCTTGGCCATCATCAACGGCTTTGTTTTTAATATTTTCGTAGTTAAACACAACAAATCCATCTCTATCTATAGAAATAAGTCTAAGATAGATTAGCAGTGAATTGTTGTTTCTGCCCCATATATACTAAGATAGATTAGCAGTGAATTGTTGTTTCTGCCCCGTATATACTATAATACTCATCATGTAGACTGCTTGCTTTCACTTGGCGATAAACTTAAAAGGTTCGAGACAATTGTGGCGGGCAATTTGTGAGCCTGACGCAATATTTGCCATCTGTCTTGTCACGATCGTATGTCTACGCTGCTGGTCGTGCTCCTCGACGGTGTGATGTGTGGTACGCTCGCCGCCAAGGTACATGCCGCATGCGTGCCTCTTCCAGATGCCCTGATGTGCGTCCACATAGCGGGAAGTTTTCACATTTTGTCTCGTCGCGGGTGTGTGCATGTGCATCAACGGAAATGAAGCAACCGCATGCAAAGTGACTTTTTTGAACGGAGCCGCACATACAACCATCGTCGCGCCCGTCGCACCCCTGCAGCCTGTCCCTCTGGTGCACGCGTAGTTGCACCGCAAACGATTCACGCTGCTGTGTGTCGGGATTCGTACACCATCAGCATCGCAGATATGACTACTGCAAGGTATTGAGTCGCTACCCAGCGGCTTATAACCCCGCCCTATCTCGTACCACCATCGCTTGTGCTACACACCGCAATAGGGAAAACACATATGTAGGACTTATTTCTACTGCTGTCACTTACATCGTAAAAATATCTCCCCTTCAATTTGAAATAAAACCAATGATAATCCTCATGGTATCCTACATGCGTTCGTAAGCTTGCTAAAATACTACTGCGTTGATGTGCTCTTGTAAACACATCGTTGTATTGCGTGCTCTTGCCCAGCAATAATAATACAATTAATCGTCTTGAATTTTGTGTAGCTGCTTTTGATTTGGCTCTGCTTTTGTACTGCGATGATTGGGGGCTGCATGGCACAAGTATGATGCGTGCTGTTGTCCAGAGATATGTAACCCAATCGTCTTGAGATTTGTGTGGTTGTATTCTATTTGGTTCTCCTTTACTGATGCGATGGTTTGGACTGTGCCATGTGCTGCAAGGCAAGCTCTTGCCCGAAACATGAATTGAGATTTGTGTGGCTTCATATTAGTCTACTTGGCTCTCCTTTTCTGATGCGATGGTCGGGACTGCATAGCACAGGTGTTCTACATGGAGCATGCATTGTTGTTGTTGTTGTTTTCTTCGCATTAAACTCGTGTCAGTTGCTAATCCCAAAATCTGTAAAGACTCGGTCCGTGGTCACACAATGCTAGAGCCATCAGAAAAGATCTGAAGAACACACACACTACTAGCAAGAAAAGGGTACACAAGCCCGAGGAGGTACACCTACACTCCCTGCAGCACGTTTGCGTGCTCGAAACTGAACTACACGCCCACACACTACAATTCGACTAAAGCAGCAGCATCACCTCCCTTGTCCCGCATTGAACCAAATGAATGTTTGTCGACTACAGCGTACTGCTGTCTGAAGTGCTGTCTGTACAATTATAACACCATGGTGCATGGTGCACAACAAGCTCGGGGCATGCAGCTGCTGTCTGACGTGCTGTCAGAATGAGCCCGTGGACATACAATACCCAACCAAAGCCACCATTGCAATCGACAATCACCCGAATCTATCCAGATCATCTGTGTTAGGCACAGAAGTGTAAACATCGGCACTGACTAGGAATCGTTCCACATTGAAGGGGCTTTCCACGATGCAGGTACACAATTAAGGCACCCGGGTTATCCGCGTCATCACACACACCGACACCATTATTCAGGAAAAAAACGGAAAATAATTGACAACACAAGCGATGTTTGTCCGTGCGCCACGGTTCAATGCCGCCCGCATGCTCCGGTTCCGCTGCTGTGGTTCCGCTGCCCCGGTTCCGCTGCTCCGGTGCCGCTGCTCCGGTGTCACTTCTCCGGTGCCGCTGTGACTAGTCCTAGCACGACCAAACTCGACCCGCTCCGCTTCGTACACGCTCTCGTTGCTGTCCTTCCCAGTTGTTTCCTCGCTTTCTCCCTCGTTGCACTTAGTTACGGTTCTTGGTCTGAAAATGCTCTCGCCGAAGGGTCAAACAGCCCAATCAGCTCATCACCACCTGTCCCCTCCTTTTACGGCAAAACCAGGTTACTGAGACAGTACAGCTCCCCCTGGCAAACCTAGCGCCGTGAACATAGCGTTCTTCCACCTTTCTGATGGCGGCTGCCTCCGCGCACAAAGATGAGATGGGCATTGCTGCCTACACCGACGGCCTGGAGGCCCGCGCATCATCTCCACTTTTGTACCTGACGCACCAGTGCCGACCCAACTCCACCACTACGCACGCCTCACGGCGGGTGCGCCGCAGCAAGAAGGTATCGGCCCCTTGAGGGTGAGTCTAGCCCTGCTTGCTAGAGAGACCCCCCCCTCGCTATGGGTCATGCCTAAGTACAACCTTGCCGAGGCAGCGAGGCGAAGAAGGGGAGTGCATGGTGTGGATAAATCCAAAGCGCATGATACTGGTGTTGTGGGGGCCGGGGTATATATCCTATAGACTATATATATGTATAGCCGTTGGTGTCTTACTATTGAGCGCACATCAATTTTGAACTCTGCATGCAGCTGTGTACACACATGGGCATGTATAGACTATGCCCTTTCTAACTCCAAACGCATACCATGTAAACTCACCCCGCGCTGTTCCTCTCCCACTCTTCGACTCTCACTCCAACGCTTTCTTGGTGCCAGAAGGGAAGCCCTTGAAGGTGGTCCCGGTGGGTATCCTCGCCCGAAAGGCAATTCTATTTGTCAAGTGCAATGAACAGCAGGAGGGGTGGGTAAGGGGCCTCAGGGAGAGGGACCCTTCTGTGTGACCACGGCTTTGACTAAACGGGGCAAGATTTGCTGTAAGCGTTGATTTGACGTGAAGACCATGGAAGACCAAGAAAATTAATCTTGGCGATCTCATCAATTCGCTTGTTTGGAGCCCTGCGTAGTGCCTTCGCACAGAAACCCGCCCTTCGTTGCATCGTAATACGTCTGATGTAAACAAGAAGCGGTAGGTGGCATACCATTTCTTGTTGTGCTGCTTGCCGTGGCTGTCCTTCAGCGGCGCAACAACTACACGAGTAGACTAAGCTCGGGCATCATCTGAACGTTCGCGATGGCAGCGGTCGATGACCGCCAAGCTGTCAAGGGTGGTGGGCGGCTCGTAAGGTCAAGTGGCCCTCCCCCAAGAAAACCTGTGAGCTCTGCAATGATCGGCTGTGCTGCTGGGAGTGCTGCTGGGAGGACGTTTCCGACTTCTAAGTGGTGACCCCCGTGCGCTCCACGCTCACGACGGGAGCTTCTCCTCCTCCCGTCCGTTGCTGCACACGCCGCCGCCTGGTGAAAGGAGCGCTGCGCTGCATCGATCCTCTACCGAACTGACTGCGCGCAGTCCTCTTTACGCCAGCCTGCCCGCCGCTCCCTATTTCAGGGAGAGGTAGCAGGAGTTGTCAAAGGCCACCTGGTCGCCTACTGAGACAACCTCCACCTCGGACGCTGGGGAAAACGCCGTACTCTGTAGCAGCATGATACTTGTTTCGCCTCGACGCGGGCATCGCGGCGTTTTCTCCTCGCCACCATCAACAATTTCCACGAGCGCGGAACTGGGTGATAACCAGCCTCGCACAGGATGAGCTTAGGCCGCTGTGTTGCCACAAAGCCGTCATCCGGCTGCTCCTCGCTGCAGCTGGCTCTGTTTCCTGGGGCAGCTCGACCAATGGGAAAAGAGAGGTCCCGTGATGGTCCGCAGTCCCTGTAGGGAGTCGTACCGGTATATCGTAATGGTCCGCCGCATGTTCTGTTTTCAGTTCTCTTCTCGCCTGCTCGCTTCTTGTCACACATCCTCCTGCTGCTGGGCTGTTGGGACCACGAAACAATCGGGGGTGACGCTGTCGATCAGGCGTTCGTTTCCCGGCTCGCTCTCTGGCTGTGCGGCTCGGCATCGAGGAAGGCAAGTGCATTCAAGAACATGTATCGCCAAGGGCAATTGCCGTGAAATTTCTTTTCGCTGCAACGACTCTGTGTTGCCGGCTCTCCTTTGCCGTCTAGCGGCAGGTTCAACCCGCCCATCATGCCGCGCATTCGTCACGTGCACAAAACTAGTTCGCAGGGTAGCAGCGTCTGTGAGCGCCAACGCACGGGTATGCAGAACGAACAAGGTGCCTGCTTGCTCGTTGTGGTCCCCCTGGCCGAGTGTCCTCATCCAAAAGCGGTCCGCTATATGTGGGGTGTCGGTATTTCCTTCCACGGAAACATCAACGGCCGAAAACAAAGAGCAAGTAAATCTTGCGCCAGGGCATGGCTTGCAAGTTGGACACTCCACGTAGTTGAGCATCTCGGCATCGTGCCTTGCCTCCCCCCCCTCGCCCTCTTTCTTCCTCTGCAGCACTCGTAGTGGAACGCGTAACCCCGATGTGCCCACAGTAATCGGCGTGCACCAAGGTCGACAGTTTTTTTTTTTTTGTCTCCCATCATTGGACTCTGTCGTCTGCCCTTCTGGCCCCTATCCTCCACTTCTACCAGCTAGACGACCCAACCGGGGTCACATAGGAGGGGGGGGTTGGGCCTCCTCCTGCGGTTCCAGGGTTGTGGTCGCGCGTTTCGCGCGGAAATTGCTTGCGCCATCCTGTGGGCAAGATCAACGAAAGCGCAAACAAGAAAAGGGCGCAACCCTGGGGTCGGGAAAAACCGACCGGACGCGAGATGCGAAGGCGTGCTTGCATCTCTCGGCCCGGCCCCAGATCCCAAGCGTGCCCGATCGAGCATTTTTTCCTCTTGGCCGTGTGTACGAACTGGAGGACGAGCGAGCGAGATTGTATCGTTTTTTGCCATCTCCAGAACAGCACGGTGAAACATGATGACATGAACACAGAACACAGCAGGGCCAATACATCTCTGTTCGGCGGGGGTGGAAGGTGGACTATAAACAAAATATTCAAGACGTGTGGATCAAGAGAGAGACTGGGAAACGTAGACCACGCCTAGCTATCGTACTCGTGGAACCTCTGAGTTTCTTCACCACTGCTGTCGTTGCCCGTTAATCCTCGGTTGCGCTTGTGTTTACCGCACAAACACTTTTCAACAACACCAGCCAGCAGCAGCAGCAGCAACAGCAGGGCGACCAGCAGGGATCGATGCAGCGTGTCTTCGCCGGGTTCGGTATTCGCGGCGCCAACATGTGAGACTACTGAAATTTCGGTACCCACCAGGATATCCAACAGCAGTTACCTCATCATTTGAGCCTATGAGATAGACCACATTCATTCGTCGCGACGATAAAGTTGTACATATGAGCTTGTACGTGTAATTTTGAGATGTTTTCGTTTTGGGCCGGGTTATTGGCTCATAATTGTTGTACCGCTGTTCATTATTTAACGCTGCACTGTACAGTACAGTCGGAGAGATGGCACCCCCGTGTTAGCGTTTTTTATTGCGTGTTTCTCCACAACTTGAGGATGAGAACACCAACCGATACCTCGCAGGAAAGATCTCGACGATATGTTTCCAAGACTACTCTTTTCGGCAGTGGTACCCCCCTGATTGTGGAGAAATATGCCATGACAAAACGCTAACACGGGGGTGCCATCGCTCCGACTATTTAGACTCGGTTTAGACTAATAGTCTAACTAAATGTATGTGCGTTTTTTTTTTAAATGCTATTTTCGGCCGAGCATGTGCTTTCAGCAGCGAAAAATGCGCGCAGTTTTGCTCGTTTTCCAGTTATTATGCGTGAACTTATGCACGGTTGTTTTTGCCGACGGAGTCGATATATACAGCATTTTTAGGGGCTATGCGCGAGGTGCGCACGTACCCCTGTCTTTGCCGACACAGTTGAACACTTGCGGTAACGTTGTTGATTCTGATTCTATGTTCTGAGCTCTGTGCTCCTCTGATTCCTTCTCACGAAACAAGTGTGTAGTGTACTACTCAAGAAGCAACACACAGACACGAGGACACCAGCCACAATCATTGCTACACCACTCCCCAGCTCCCAGCACGCCCTTTTTGCCCCAGTCCCCTGTTTCTATTTTCCCCGGTCTCCGTTGTACTTGAGACGTGCGGATGCAGCCACGTGGTCGCTAAAACTATCCTCCTGCCTTGCATCCATACAAGCACGCAGGATGGAAAAAACACGTGTGCTGTGCTGCTGTGCTGTTGTCTTCGTCTTTGGTCGGTGGTCTGGTTGTCTGCGGTCTGTGGTGCAGATGTTCAGCTGTTCTACTGTTCTCTTGGCTCTTGGCGCGGAAAAAAAAAAGTCAAACCCCAAACCCCCAACCCCCCCCGCAGGTCCGCTGTCTTTGCTCAAGTTCCACCATGGATAGATAGTGTTCAAGGATAAAGTTGCTCACAGCGAAGGCGTTTTTCAAGTTTTTGTTCAAGTTGCTGGGGCCACAGGAGGCGCCTGACTCACTGCTGATCCACCCTATCACCAAAAGAAAGCGAGCATAACCACGCTTATGCATAGACTAGTATGCCCATATATGCGCGATATTATGCGCCGAAAAAAAAAAGTATGCACGGGCGAAATTCTGCGTTTCCTAATGGACGCGAAGGTTATTTATGTCGAAAGCAATGCCCGCATATTAGGTATAAGCCTACGGCTATTGCGGTAGTTACCGACTCCGATGTGGGTTCCTAACTTGGATCGCCACAAGTATGTAGATGCGCAGTTTCCGACAATATTAGAAACAAACGGTTGGCGATATCTGCACCACGAGCAGTATCGTCGTTGGTCGGTTTCGTCCTCAGCCACCTAGTCTTTGGTTTGACAAACGCATAAGGGTGTTACCTGTCTGCTGCCTTGCCTCTCTTTTGCGTGCCCCTATCGTTCCGTGTTGGTTGTGCGTTTTGGTGCTATCGTGGGTTGTTTTTACCTCGTTGCGTATGTGGGAGGATCATGGCGCCGTTGCGGCCCGGAGGCAGGCGTGATGACCGTTTTGAAAGTTTGAAACACAAACTTTTTGCACATCTGTTGAGGAAGCACGGGCATTCCCGCAACCAAAAACAACTTTACCCTCGCAGGGTTGTTTCTATAGAAACATGTTGGATACAGAATGCAATCGGGGAAGATGATTTAAAGGTTAGGGTTAGGGAATAGGGTCTGCGTACCCCAAATTTCTTGCTAAGGCGGCTGGAATAAACAACACACGGCAGACCGGCACACAAAACAACTCCTGATTGGTAGCAAACTGGTGGTGCCTCTGCTCCTCCCGCCGTGCAACCTTAAACGGCACAGTGTTCGTGTAGGCAGCTTCTCTGGCTGTCTACCTCCCAGCCTGAGCGCCAGCCAGCCTGCCCGCCGACCTGCGTCCGTCTGGTCCCGCCTCGCCCCGCGAATGGCGCTGTGTTTGACTTGCTTTCATGTCTAGGCTATTGATACTTCTTGTTGATTGTTTTGCGTTTTACCTGCACCATAGCAGCAGCAGCAACAACAGCAGCAGCAATAACAGCAGCAAGCAGGAGGAGGTAACGTGGACCATGGAGAACCAGGGAGACTGTGCCCATGACGAGGAGATGGAGAGGAGAAGCCCGGAGGCGCTGGCGATCGCCGCCGCAGGTGGTTCTGCTGCTGCCTCTGCTGTCGTTCTCGAAGAAGAGTTTAATCGTTGACCTTGGGGGCGTTCAGAAAAAAGTCACGAACGGCGCGGAATCTTGGAATCTTTGTCGTAGCACCCCTCGTGGCTCCTAGGGAGCGTCTCATCGGGTTGCTGTTGTTGTCGTTATCGTTGTCGTTGTGGTTGTTGCTGTTGTCGTTGTCGGGTATCGTTGTCGCCATTGTTGCTGCTGCTGTTGTTGTCTATGTTGTTTTTGCTGTTCTTCTGTTTCCTCATTGGAATCCGCTCTCTCCGACCTATTTTGGCGGTGCAAGATCCACGTTCTTTCGAGCTTGCTCGTGTATGTGTGTGTGTCGCCGGAAGACGTTCAAGGAGGCGTGAAATACCTAAGACCTTCGCTTGCGCTTTCGGTAGTCTGCAGGGTGGAGGGGGTCAGCTGTGAGCTCCTGCAGTTTGCGTATACTGATAGCATGGCGCCCAAGACTTTGGTTGGCGTTGAATTATTGAGCTAGGCCATCATTTTTGATAAAACGGGATAGCGGTGTTCTGGTTAATGCCGCTTTCGCTGAAATGATAAGCACGCTCGAACGACACTCCTCTCCCAACGGCATTCCTTGTTCTCCTGCCTCTTTCCCGAAACAGCGGGAAAAGATCAAAGCGACGACAACGTCGACATCGGCAAAGCCCCCGTGATATCCTTGAGCCCCCAGGACAGAGCTCTGGTCGCGGTCAAGAGAGCCGCCGCGGCAGCCGCGACCGCGTCCGCAGCGGCGGACTTGGCAGCGGCGGCGGCGGCGGCGGCCGATGCGGCGCCACTGGGTACGGCCTCCTCCGCCTTCGCCAAAACGGCGGCGGAAAAAACCGGCCACGCCGGCGACCCCCCTGTTGCCCTCTCCCCACCTTCTAACGCCGGGGACACCGTTTCCGGAGGCAAGACGGTCGAAGAGAGACTGGCGATCCTGCATCGCGCCCACATTGCGGCCCTTCACCTCCAGGAGGGGACGTCCGTGGCGAACGAAGCCCTCCGCCAGGCGAACCTGGCGCTCCAGCAGGAGAACGGTGCCATGGTCCTCGAGAGCCAGGTCGTGCGGGACGAGTTTACCGAGGCGCTTCGAGACAACCACGCTTGGTGCCGGAAGAACGAGGTGTGGCTGTGCGTCCTCTCTGTTCGTTTTGCTGTCGTTTGTTGTTTTTATTGTTGTTTTGTTGTTGTTCTTGTCGTCGTCGTCGTCGTCGTCGCCACAGTCGTTGTTGTTTCCTATGCCGTCGTAATCGTTTGCGATTTGCAATGAACACTGCTTATGTTAGCATACCGTACAGGGTTCTATTCGAGTTTCAACTAGGTTTCCATTGGGTCGCCCTTCGTCGAGCAAACCTAAAACCGTCATCGTCGTTCCGAACCCAACAAACACCACGCACGCACACCGCATGTCCGAAAAAGCGTAGTAGGGTTCCCTTCCCCGGTGTAGGACTCGCGTCATTATTGTCGGAAAGTCGATTAACTAACGCGATCGGTTACGGTGAGAACAAATCCGATCGTGCACCCACGTGGCGTGCCCGAGTTTCTTACCACGCAACAGGACTTTTTTCAGTTGTCAGCGCGTAGGCGCGGTCGATGCTACTTCTAAGGAACCACAACGCATACACACAATTATCGCAGACTGACGTCCTTCATTGGCTAGCCGGTTGGCGTGGTCGATGCTACTCGGCAAAAGAATACCACTACAGTATCCGACGAAACCTATCATATGCTGCTTGCTGTCCAGGTTCTGGGTCAGGAGTATACCCGGGCGTTCCTTGCCAAGACGGCTGAGGTGTTCGACCGGAACATGGAGCTGGAGAGCGAAAACGAGAAGCTTAGGGCCAAAAACGCAGAGCTGGCTGACAAAGCTGGGAAAGCGGAGCGCAGGTAGGTGCTGCGACACGATACCAAGCACAAACAGTAGAGTAGCGAAGACAGCATCAGATATAGCCGGCCACTCGTATTTAGCGCCGTATTACACGCAGCCGGTTTGCTTCCAAATGTCCAAAATTCTAAATTCCGACTCTAACAACATATTCGCCTGATTGAGAGCGTAGCATCTGATTGAGAGCGAGATTGCGCGATACGCTGTAGCCGGACTACCACTGAGAGGTGGAGCTTGCTGTGTAGCTTGAATTGAAGGGCTAGCCCGTAGCTTCAAGCCGCTACCCTGGTCATCCTGTGGGAGTCTCTCGTTGTGGAGCTACAGCGGGGAGCAGAAGCTACAGCAGAGCCCACCGCCCGACGCGATACCGCCCTGAAACAGTTTGAGCAGAAATAGCCAATCTGGGCAAATCTAGCAACTTGTCTAGCTCCTCGCTGCAGCATCCGATGACGATGACACGCATATGCTCGCGAAGCTGCTGATGAGACCTTCAATTTGCACCGCTTCTTGGAATAGCCCGTCCCCTACTTGCCAAGAAATGGCAAGAGGCGTCTGGACCCGAAATTTCAATTTTTTTGGCTCTCGCTCTCAATCAGATACTTCGCTCTCAATCAGGCGAATATGTTGTTCTCTGCAGATTTCCTCAAAACTTTCCTCGGCCGCAAATCGAGGTTCCATGGTCGCAAATTGAGGTTTCATGGTCTACGGATGTGGAAATTTGCAAGTTTGGAAGCAAAACAGCTGCCGTATGAAGCGGCCCGTTGTAACCCATACACTCCAATACCACTTTCGTGGGCTATTCCGGCAGGCACCGTGTTGACTGCGGTCTGATGTCGATGGAGATGGTGTAGGACCCCGAATTTCCGCGCGTGCCATGTAAGCATTTTTCTTCGACAGATGGAATAAAGGCAACGTCTGAGGGTGTGTGTTTGACCTGAGGACATACATTTGGTACGAACCGCCAGTGTTTGTTCTTCCATGCATACCCAGTAGCTGGTTGTGATACTTCCTAGTGTTCATCCTAGCTTATTGTTGTGCGAAAATAGGATAGGTCACCGGCAATAGTTCCTCGGTCGTTCCCTGGTAGTCAGGAGGTAGCTCCCTTCTGAGGGTACCTGCGATTGGCCAACCTGTTGGCGTCTCTCTATTGGATAGGGGTAGGCTGCAGCACACGCAACCTGTCTGTAATGTGATAAAGTACCAATATGTCATTAACTTGAGGCGCAGGGTGATTTACTGTTTCCGGTATAGGGCTATCCCCACGTGGTGGTATGTTGGAGAAATCGAAAATTTCTTCCCTCTGGAGGTACTGGTTGCATGACAGCACCACGATACGTCTGTGACGGAATCGAAACCTGGTGTCGAGTTGGCACCGCCTGTTTCTGTCGGGCAAATTTCTCGAAGCTCGAATGTGTTGCAAGTGACACAGCTTGACTTGCGATGGAATTTGGCAACCAATCGCCATAAAATATTTTGCCAACAAAGCAACAAAAACGATAGCGACACCGCGGCCATCACAACAGGCACGCCGAGGTGATCCGCGAGACCAACGCCTGGCGCCACGAGAATTCCGTCATCCACCAGGAGTACGCCGAGCACCTCGCCAGCAGCGCCGAAATCCTGGCCGAGAACGCCGCTCTCAAGGACCAGATCGCCGTGTCCAACCGCGAGTACGCCAAGCTGGCCGCTGGTGGCGACACCCACGCCCGGAAGCTCACGTCCAAGGTGAAGCACGTCCTCGGACACAACGAAGATGGCCCCAGCGGTGATGTTGGCACGGTAGGCGGCGGCGGCGGCGGCGGCGGGAGTGGTGCTGGCGATTCCTTCGAAGGAGGCGCTAGCGGCATCCCGAACAAGCAGCAGCGCTCGCCCGACTCCCGTGTTTTTTTTCCGAGCGCGGACGGGGAGACTCCTCGCCGGCACACGGCCCGGACCCTCGGGCAAGAAGGACATGGTCAGAAGGGGCGGCTGCAGCAGCTGCAGCAGCTGCAGCAGCTGCGGCAAGTGCTACAGCAGGAGCGCAACAAGGAGGAAAAGGCCGAAGCCGTCAGCGATGCGGGGGGGACCCTGACACAGTTCAGCAGTACCAGCACCACCGCTGACGATGAACCCGTCGATCGAGCAATCGAGGCAGAGCGGGCCGACGGACAGGACCGGCGCGGCAGCAGGGGGGGGGCGGCCGACTCGCGGCGGAGCAGCGGCTTAGCAATGATCGGCACCGACACGGGATCCATTCTCTCTCCGAGCGGCACCAGCTCAGCCACTGCCAGGCGGCGAGAATTCGTCAGGAAGGGAAGCGCAGAGACGTTGGTCGGGAGGTGGAGCGGCTCTGAGCCCATTGTCGAGGTAAGTATATACGTTTGTCGGCACCTTCGGTGGCCGCTTGAAAGAGTTAGCGTTTTCTGTTTTTTTCGGGAGTGTTGCGTGCGCGACAGGATGTGTGCGCAACAGAGGAGTTTTTACAGTCACACCTGGGTCGAGCGCTTCGACTTGAGAGGCGAGGCCTTACGACTGCCGGCGGTGGCACAAGAATATAACGACGATAAGAGCAAGAGGGTACAAAACAGAAAAAAATGTGTTTCATCGACCTTGGTGGTGTTGGCTAGCCGACCCCTCTCGATACCCACTGAGCGAATACGAATGCGGCGTCGAAGAGAGCAGGAAAAGTCTATCGATGGGCTAATTGGTTATCGAGGGAGAGGGAAGAGGATCCAACGATTCGTTAAAGATCTCTAATAAACGTTCCTCCCCCTCCCCTGTGCCACGTTTCGAACGTCCTCGGTCTGCCCCCCCCGACGACGCGCAAAAGGGTGCGCCCGACACGCCTGCCACACCGCTCACCCTGCACCAGGCGGCCTACCCGAAGACCGATCGGTTGCAGACGAGCAAGCAAGGTCAACACCGGCCCGAATCCAAGCAACAGCAAGACCAACAGCCCCAGCCCCAGCAGCAGACGCGAACGAACACGCAGTCACAGCAAGGTCGATCGCAGCAGGACACGTTTTCCACGGTTGACAGCAGTGAGGAGATGAACAGCAGCACTTCCAAGGCGTGTCAGCGGGATAACAGGGTCCCGAAGCGCGGAATGTGGCCACTAGCGGCCAAGGTTCAGCCGCCGCAGCAAGCCCAAACGGGGGACGACGGGGAATCGTGCGGCAACGAGTGCGAAGGCGAGAAGAAAGGAGGCGACGTGGACAGTAATCGACAGCAAGAGCGCCAGGAGAAGTGGATCCTCACGCTCCCTCAGAAGCTGGGGCTCGAGCTGGAGTGGCGCACTCGGGTAGGGCTTACATTCTTTTTTTGCTGTGTGTCGGTGGTCCCTGTTGATGATAAATGCAAAAAAACAAAAAATCTCGACCGCTGTGGTCGGGAAGTTCTAAGCCTCTCTCGTGCTTGAGGTTTGTGTTTGGTAGTGCCGGACGGCGTGTGTGATGGCTGGATCGTTCCTCGACGGCCGTACAAATGGCTGCCGTGGTTGAATTGTTTTCACCATAGATGAGAAGTTGAGATCTGAACGCTTGGACATGACTCATAGACCAAACCTACCCCCTGGCTGGGTTAACCCTTCCGACCTTTCCCCATGGTGTCGCTTATTTGTTGCGTACTTGTGACCGCCGCAGCCTTAGCACTCTTCAGGGGGCGTCCAGGGTTGGGTAGATCCGTCAGCATCGCAGGGGCCGTCGGAAGATGGCACAAGGTTGGGCTCGTCTACGTACAGTAGTTGAAGCAGGTTTCGGAACAGGCTAAGGTGCAGGAATTGATTTGTCTTCACGTCGGTGGAGCTTGAAACCGGTTCGCTCGTCAAGGGAGTCACGTATGATTGAGTCGAAACGCTCAACATTGGTTTGGAAAGAGCATGCGGTCGACGTCAGGCGCCAATAGACGATTGGCTGGAACTCCTTAGGGTGGTCTTCATTGCGGCCTGATTTCTCTTTCCCGCGGATTGAACGTGGACAACTCACCCACTTGTAGATATCGGCATGTTTGGTGGCGAAATGTCTGGGGGGTTGGGTGTATTCGATACTTCATACCTCGTCACGGCACCTATTTGCAGTAGTACTGTGGTGCGCAATTCATCGGTTCAGAGAGGTGCAGCAGAGACGTCCGATGCAAACAGATGGCAGGCTTTCGGGGAGGGCTTGACTCATCTGTCCGAATTGTTGTTGTTGTTGTTGTTGTTGTTGTACGTAGTCTTCACGTTAAAACACCGTTCCGGTCGCCGCTCAGCACTTCGAAAGTCCGTACTGGTCCAATTGACGCGGGCGCCTTCCGCGGCCACAAGCCAACTACCCCCAAAATGGGGGTACATTCTTTTAGAAATCAAATACAAATAGACCTCAGAAAAATTCTTCCAAGACCGACTATCGACCGCAATTCATGGGTCGTCTTGCAATTTGGGGCTCGTTCTCGTTGTCATGTCACCGTTGTCATACCTCTCGTCGCTGCATTTGCCGCTGACACGGCGGTGATGTACATGCCGATGGACTCGATCGTTGGCCATAGGCTCGTTATTGCCGGTGTGGCGGGCCCTTTTCTGCCCTGTTAGTGCGTCCAGCATATCGCTGTCTTTGATACCCGCTTTAGCAGGGCGTAGCAGAATGACGACAACGCGCTGCATCAAGCGAATGGGGCGCTTGGTGGGCCAGATCTAGAAGTTACTGCGTATGACCGTGTTCTTGTTGTGGATGTTGTTGCGTCGTTGTCGTTGTCGTTGGTGCCGTTGGGGTTGTCCATATCGCTGTTGTCGCTGCTGTTGATATTCTTGTGGATGTTGTCGTTTATGATTGTCGTTGTTGCTCCTGCGGGGAAGCACCACCATATGTATGTACAAGGCATATTCACAGCCTGAAATGCTGCCCATGAGTCACAAGGCGGTAGAGATTTGTTCGTATATAATGAACTTGGTGTCAAACGCAAGCCTGGCACAAAACACGAGGAGCATCGGCTCTCTATTCCCACATGAAATCGATCATAGGGGTGCAATCCAGATGATTGCTGTTGGGGAAGCGATGAGGCTGGGGCAATTCTCTCGGAAAGGGAACTTTGAACGAGAATGGTGGGGGGGGAACCGATGGTTTTTGATGGAAGGCAGATGAGGAAGATTGGGGAGGCGGGGGGGGTACTCGGAATGGCGGCGAGAGTTTTGTCCATGGTTTGGACGGAAGGCCTTGGGAGCTTGTGTATTCTCGTCAGATCTCCACGTATGCTGGGCACCAGGCTGCATCTTTCGGTCTGCACGTCTGACGCGCTATGGCCAGGGACACAGGGGAGGAAGATTCACCCCCCCCCAAAGAGTTATATGTGTAGTTGGACCATGCGCAGATAATGTGGTTGTGCTTAAGAGTTGGTTCTTGCCCTGGCGGCTCTATGTATGTGAGGGATGCAGAAGCTTGTCGCACAGATTTGGTACCATACGGGGGGGTGATCCAAGCCGTTGGGAGGGCGCGGTGCGGCGCTGACGTCACTCCACCCCATGATCGGAGTGGGTGTGTTTGGGCATGGAGAGACTGGTTCTGGGCCGACTGAAAAGTTCTTGACAAGCAGACACGTAGTTGGAATCCACGAAGTAGCTGCGTTCAATGATCCTACCACAATTTGACGAGAATGGTTAACATCGACCCCGAAGGCTTTGCAATCTCGTCAGGAAACACCAGGCCCGTGCTTGCAGAAACGATTCCACAATAGTAATATCCGTCTTTCCTCACCTCGTGCACTCATTTCTCTGTCTCCCTCTCCTTTTCTCTCTCGTCTCTCACAAAACTCTTGTACGGTCACCTTGTTATAGCTCCAGATAGGGGAGAGGCGTTTATCGTTTTGCCGACAAGAACGGCCGCCCGAGGACATCAGTGAGTCCTTGGACTCACCAAATCCTTCTACCGCTACCAACGGCAGATGGCGCCGCCAACGTATCTGCCTCGAATATCAGACATGAAAGCTAAACGGTCGCCGTTAACTGAAGGAAGCGCACGGGAATTTCCCTTGGTCATGGTACATGCGGTAGCCTCCTGATGGACGTGGGGGGAGGCTGTATCACTTGCGACAATAATGCGATTAAAGGTAGAAGCCTGATGAAGAGGCCTCGACAAAAGTGCTCCTTTTCGTCACGCCCACGAAAAGGTTCACCTTTCTTTGCCGGGGCTTGTGGCATTTTTAAACCGAAAATCCCGATGAAAATCCCGTCGCTAGGTGCAGACGCCGTACGTGAAGGCGCTTGGTAGCGTTTGCTGAGGGGGCAGTTTAACGATTGAAGTCTCCCGTTGAATTTCCGGCGACAAGTGAACACTCAGTAGAGTCTACACCACGGTCAAACGGAGTTGGCCTAGAATAGTGAGGGTCAATGATTGCCTTGAAATCTTTGTATCTTCAGCTCTGCAGGCGATATTTTGTGTCTTATATGGTATCACTAACTAACTTGCCAGCGCCTCAGGTGAGATGCAACGGTCGCCCCAGTAGTCTAGTTGGTGTCCTCGAAACCTAATAAAGGTCATGTTAGGGGTTCGAACCCCGGCGTAAGCGAGCTTTCTTGCAAAGTGAGCTTTCCTCTCGCATTCGCTCCTGACCTCGTGGATAGCGCTGGTTCGTGTGTACACAGAGGGATGAGGATGCTGAACGCTTCTCGCATCAAAACTCGAAGGGCACGTACCGTAGGAGGGAGGGTAGAGAGGGGCTCTTCTGTGTGACCACGGGTTGGTTGTAGTAATCGGCACTAGTGCCTTGAGTGCTGATTTGAAGTGAAGGCAAAAGAAAAAAAACGTCCACTACTGTACCACGAACACCTGGGGTGCGGGAAACAACATTGGCGGTGAACACCGCTTTATTTCCAACCTCTGTCCAGAACGAGGTGATTACTATAACCTGGCTATAGGCATCCACAATCGAGGTGATTACTTAAAGCTTGCTACAGGCATCTACAAACGGCTCGAAACGGCTCGACGATATTGTTGTGGGCGGTACAGTTAACCCGACATGAACTCTATCCAGTATAATTGCCTCCCGTAAACTTCGGGGGCATGCAGTGTCCGCGGCAAACGATAGAAGAAACTAATAGTTTAAAACCAATGATAATGTAAAAATATACCTGAACAGCTACATCAACTTTCCACTACCACTCGCTAAAAAGTGTCTCCTGGACTGCCGGGGTCCAGGGAGAATAAAAATAGGGTACAACAGTGTATCCAATGGCATGCCCGTTGCTTCACCTGGAAGCCTAGCCCCGGACACCACATATTGCAGGAGTATCACCACCACCCCTGAAATAGCTGACACAACGAAGAGGGTACTCAAATGCGTACGAATTCGGGGCGTGCTCATCGTCGGGGTATGGCCGACAATTCCAACCCCGCTTCACGTCATGGGGGTGCCCTATAGGCTCTGCATAAAGTGACACCACTCCACACCCTGAGAATTGAGGACTACATGCTCAAAAAAAGACATATAAACGATCTTGACCATGGGGACAGTCGCTCAGGTAAGATTCCTGCACTAGAGCCTGTGTAGGCCTTGTTTGATCTCGTGCAAAAATGTGAGGTACTTACGCGCAAGTGAGGGTACCTATTCTACGCGTTCAGCGAAATCAATTGAACAAGGCTACGCAAATCATTCGCCACGAAAGGATGGTGTTACACGCTGCCCACCCAACCGGGCAGCTACGTGCCGGGGCTGATACCAACCAATAAAACATTATGGGAGATCCAAAAATGTATGCCGCATTCATTCCTCATTCGCAAATACCCGTATTTACGCACAAGGAGATGGTGCGGTGTGTAACTTTCTATGCGTGAAATTGTCCACCATCTCACGTGAGCGCTCGAAGCCATACACGCCAACTTGGTCCTAGGAATGACTGACAGCAATAAGAGGTTGACAAGTTTAGTGGGTGTGCACAATCCAGATTTCAGACGCGCGGTGAACCCCAATGCTCGTCCGCACACAAATTCCACGAAGTGACCGGGAAACTACGTACTTCGATTATTTCGCTATCCCTTCTATCGGCAGGATCTTTCTACCGACGATCCCGTGGCGGAGGCGTCCCTCTTCCATTTCCACGCCGAGGCTTGACCCCGTTGTCGGAGAGCAGACCGAGTAGTCGGAGCAGGGGTTGCTTTTTCGTTCTCTCTGCTGGTCGTAGGGCCGCATGCCACGCACAGGCCCACTGCCAGCACCACCAGTTCCACCGCCACCGGAGACGTTTCTTTTTTTGTCTTCGCCACAGGAGGAGCCGCTTGCACCAGACATGGGCCTCTCCGTGGGGTTATTAGCGCCCTGTCGTTTCGCGAGGGATCCATTTTTATCGTCGTTCTTGGAAGGTGTACCCCTCTTTTGGGTGGTAGGCTTGTGACCTTCAGTTGGACCAGTACGGATATTAGAAGGTACTGAGCGGAGACCGGGTCGGATTAAAGGTGAAGCAACAGCAACAACAACAAAAACAACCATGTCGCGTGAGAGAGTCGGTGCCTTGCCTTCCAAGAACGGCGAACGCTCGAACACGAACCTGACCGTGTGCGTACGGTAAAAAGAACTCTCGAGCACACCTGCTGTGAGCATTGCTTGTCTCGTGCATGCTCGACCGTGTAGGAGTCAGACGAAGTCGACTCGTTTTCTGAATCCGTAGAATCCCGCCGTTTCAGTACCAGGTGCTTCAGCGGCATATCTGCGAACCTTGTAGCGCCAACTTGGGTTTTGGGTAAGACGCGCGCAGTCGGCGGAGAGATGAAGGAGTGGTTTGGTGGAGGCGTTCACCTTTCTTTGTGTTGATCCTCTCGCAAACGTCAAGCGACACAACGGTTCGGTTCGAGCCCGTTTCGTGGCGAGCGTAGGAGGCGCGAAGTGCACGAATACATGCGTGGTGCGAGCGCATATGTATCACCTGCCATCGAGGCGGTCTGCTTTTGCTTTGCACCTAGGCGTGTGGTTTAGACACCCTTCAGTGGGTTGGGATTCGTACACGGAGAATCCGCCGAAATTTGTAAACCTGAACGTCGAGCTGATTGGCTTCAACCTGCATCTCATGCGTTTGGTTGGCAGCAGGAAACTCAAAACATGGACGCATAGTAGAAAATAATTGTACCCTCAGTAATGAACCAGCGAGAGTTGGACAGAGAAGACAACATTCAGCCCACGGCAGAGGTTCGGTCGGACTGCTCGAACGGAAAATCGAGGTTTGGGATCGGCTGACAAAACAATGAGAACAAAACTAACGAAAAAGAGAGCTGTCCGCGGCCGAGTCCCGCCCATACGCAAGACTCGAGATACACAAAACACCGCCTTTTTCTTTACCTGAAACGAAGGCCCTGCGAGCATATACCACCAAAGACCGGTCCGCATCGCTTTGCTCGGGAGTCGAGAGGCACCCTGCAGAAGCTTCGAATCGAGTGGTAAGGGCAAACATTCCGCTCGCGCCATGGCCGACAAAAACCTGGCGTCCTTGACGAAGTTGTGAATACAGGGGAACGCGAATTATTCACAAATGGAGATCGGGTACTGCACAGGCTGAACGGTTTGGTCGCCGCTGGAGATCGGTTACTGGGTAGGCTGACCTTTTAAACGCTCTTGCCGAGCGTTCCGGGATGGATGAAGTTTGCCAGGGAAGGGAAGTGATTTTAGATTTTTATCAAAGACATCGATCACCGTAGACCCGCCCGCATGTATGTGTGCTTCAAAATTATTCGGTGTTGGTAGGGCTAGCCGGCTGACCAACGAAAACACGCAAGCGTCAGCGCGAGGGAAAAGTCAAGGTCTCCGCAGGAGGACAAAACAATTATTAGCAATGTGTGCGTGCGTGTGTGTTCACGCTTTTCCTAGTCGTCCTCGCCTGAAAATACCAAAGTATGTTTGGTGTGCCTTGGCCGGCCGCTGTCAGCACCCTTAGCACACCAACAAGCACCGCGCAGGATAGCGTGCCGCAGAATCCCATGGCTTGGAGCCAGACGTTCCACTCCGCCTTTACATAGAATGCCTTGGAAACCCCCGATGACTCACATACATTGAGGACGGCGTGTTCACAGGGCAAATTGCAACTAAGGAAGCGCACGCTTGGAAGTGGTTGATTCATGGTGCTGAAACCATTGGATGCCACACGATAGCTAAGCACGACAGGGCGTGCGCGTAGGTGAGAATAGTGTGAACAATGCAGTTTTTTGGGTCTTGCGAACGTGCCCACTAATATTCCACGTTTTTTTCGTTGCATGTGGTAATCACCGAAACTACACAACACCCTGCACGGATGTATGTGTGTGCCACTCTTTCTTCACCGTCGACGGTGCCGCAAAAAGAGGTGTTCAATTTACGTCTTCCCGCCTGGTTTTGGCGGCAAGATAGGTCGAGATGGAACACCCAGCACCTGAAGCAACCGCAAAGCAAGCATCTGCTTTGCAAACTAGGGTGAAAGTCCCCCCGTGTGCCCGAGAGCGGTGGGGCAAGGGTGCAAACATAGCACTCAAGAAGATGTGTGAGTGCTCTTGAACTCAAGATCGAGAATAGGTTGGTGAACGTGAAAAGGCTGTCGCGAACACCGAGAAGGGCTTGCATTCTGGATGCCGCCCAGACTCGGTGCTACAAGAGGGGCCAGGTTCGCCTCCTGCCTGGAACGACCACGACACCAAACGGTACAAACCCGCCCGTGCCAGAACACGCACGGTGCAACGATCGATGGAGCAAGCCTGGTCACACGCACCCCACCGCAACACCGCTGAAAAGGGTTGTGTCTACACTCATGCGGTCAGTAACCGTCTCGTCACCGGCGAGTTGGGTGCTCTCGTCTCACCTTCGACTTGGAGCTGTCGATTAACCTCGTCGTTTGCACAGCTACAAACATGATGACCACGCCCTGGAACCCGAGCAAAGCAGAGGCGGCGTACAGGTGGTTCGTCGGTGAGGGCGCATTGACGCAGACGGACATACAGCTCACGTGTAGGAGGGGTAGTTTGACTTCGGAGAACGGACAGGCGTCGCTGAGGGTTTTGCAAACTCGAATCATACCCGCAGCTTGCACCCTGGATCAGTATTACCTGGCGTCGTGACTGCACTCGAACACACGATACCAACAGTTGTTTAGCACAAAGCACACGTCTGGGTGCTTCTCCGTCGTCATTGGGTGAATTCGACCACCTGTACTCCCAGCAACCCTTACCCACAGGGGAATGTGATGCACTGACAAAACCATGCGCTTTTTGCACAAGTTGTAGAGATAAGAGGAGGCATCTCAAGACCCTTGGGTGTACACTCCGGAGTTCATATTGCACATACGTGCGTGCCAGAGACCGTGAGACGCTTACCACAGTGATTGACCCCAAAGCCATGAACGTATCCGCGGCCACTTTGGCCGAGTACGGAAACAAGATGGTGAGGATTCCTGAACCTGAAACCGTCGAGGCGTTCAAGGTTCCGAGGACAAGGATTATGTTGCGCTGTTCAGAGGCGTTCTTCAGCCTCGCCGCGTAGCTCTCGGCCGGAAGCAGTTGGGATGGCAGGCCCGATACCCAGAAGCTGGCGACTTGCATCATCGCGAAGGTGTTGCACGGGAACAGCACGGCGTACTCGACTTGCATCAAGCCTTCGTCGTAGAGACCGGTCTTCCCTTCCCGCATAACCAGAGCGATGCCGATGAGCCCAGAGCCAACCACGTAGGCACTTCGGGAAACGGAGGAAGACGTCGGCGAAGAGATCCGTCGGTGAACGCTGAGAACAGGTAAATCTGAGAACCCCACCAGAAGCAGCGTGCCCTGCACGCTATGCATTGGACATCTTCATCCTAGCTTGCAGCTGCTGCATAATTTGTAGAGTTGGTGCTTTCTACGCATCCTTGGCCGACTCCACACTCGGTCATTGACCAATTATCTGCACCGACCTCGATAGGGAAGCGCTCTGGCGGAACAGTAAACCCGGAAACACAAGCAGCACGTGAAAAACGTTCTCTGTGGCAGCAAAAAATACTGTCATCAACCGCATCTACCCGAGCAAGCCTCTCGAAGTGTGTGCCACTTTCGTTTAATGTATCCGTCGGAATGGGCTTGTTTTCACGCAGGCACAAAATAGGCAGGTGAGAGAGGCGGCCTTTCCGGTTCAAGGGGGAAAAACTTCGTGCTGTACGCATATGCAGTCGGCATGCATCATGGCCGTCTGTGGGAAAAATAAAAATCAGAATAAATATCAACTGTTTCGTTTTTCCGTGTGAACAATGTTGATCGGGGTGCAGCACAAACAGAACGCAGCGACAATTTATGTGACTGAATCGCCGTAGGGCGATGGATCCCCGCGGCCTCCAACGGCAACCACACGAGAGACACCATACAACGCAGCTCGGGTTGGGGGGGG